CGCATTACTAATTAGCAGTTCTACCTGGATGCAAGGATATTATGTATTACAATGACGCTAGGGGAAAGAGGAAAGAAGGAGCCATTTTGAGATCAGATTACAAGTTTCTTTACAAATCAATGAAGATTTCAGACAGAGATCTTGTGTGGTCAACAAAGAGGAAGGGCTGCTTTGTGAGCTACCAAAGCCAAATGTGAGTGGGAGATGTCTCTAGTCGAAAATACAAATTTTGCAGGCGTTTAAACATTCTGGGAGGTTCACTCTAATGGTGGCTGAATATAATCACGGAAACAGGCTTTATTGCTGGTGATGGATTTAAGGAGCTCACCAAAAACTGGGGAAAGCACCTGCAGGCACTCCAAAGTTACTATGCAGCAAAAAGGGGAAAACAGGAGCCCGTTGGAAATTGGCAACGGCTGTGGATTGTTGCCAAGTCTAACTGAAGTACACAAGATGTTGGAGGATTAGAAAGGATGTTTTGTCATCTGTGGCAATCTAGAATGAGTGGTCATAGTATTAGTATAAGAGATTTGAAACAGAGATGATTTAAGCAGATCTGAAGTAGATGAGGAGAAATTACTTCTCTAAAAAGGATCATGGAATTTGTGGCATTTACTACTCCAGGGTGTGGCAGATGCTGAAACATGGAGTAAATTTGAAACGATAAATTGATTTTTAATTAGGAATGTGTTGAAGGGTTATGGGGAGCAGGCAGGAAAATTGAGTTGAGGCCAAAATGAGATCAGCCATGACTGCATTGAATGGCAGAGCAGGTTAATGGGGCTGAATGAGCTATTCTTGTTTCTAGTTCTTATCATAAGAACTATAATTTTGTGGGGAACGCAAAATAAGTATAGGTACATTCCTCTCTGCAGTTTCAAGTAGAAGTTGCAAACAAAATGAAAATAGTTCTTGCGAACAGTCACTTGTTATAAAAATTTAAAAACGAGTAATTCTTTCAACTGTTAACTGGATAGTCAAGTTTCTTTTTGAAAAATTACCAGTATGTGTGGGGATCATAACAATGCATCATCCTATCATTATTGAACTTTCAACTGAACCCCAGTAGAATTGCAACAACACCAGTGATTCTACAAGAAATTTCACCACCAGCTTATCGATGAACTTGGAGCACGAAGCAAATGCTAACCTTTCTAGAAATGCCCATATAAGACCACGAACCACAAGCTATATTACACTTTATATAACATATATTACATATATAACATATAACATGTATATATAACATATATACAAAATAGATCAGGGCAGACGGATAGAAGTAGTTTACTTGGACTTTCATAAAGCCTTTGACAAGGTTCTGCAAGTTAGACTAATTAGTAAAGTTAGATCACATGGGATTCAGGGAGAGCTTGCCAATTGGACACAAAATTAGCTTGATGGTAGGAGACAGAAGTGGTGTAAGAGGGTTGTTTTTCAGACTTGAGGCCTGTGACTAGCGGTGTTCCATAAGGATTGGAACAGGGTCCACCTTTGTTTGTCTTTTACATAAATGATTTGGATGAGAATATAGGAGGCATGGTTAGCAAGTTGACAGATGACACCAAAATTGGTGGTATAGTGGGCAGTGAAGAAGGTTATTTAAGATTACAAACAGATCTTGATCAATTGGGCCAATAGGCTAAGGAGTGGCAGATGAAGTTTAATTTGGGTAAATGCAAGGTATTGAATTTTGGTAAAACAAACAAGGTCAGGACCTGTACAATTAATGGTAGGGCCCTGGGCTGTTTTGTAGAACAGAGACCTAGGGGTTCAGGTATATAATTCTTTGAAATTTGCTTTGCAAGTAGACAGGGTGATTAAGAAGGTATTTAGCACGCTTGCCTTCATTGCTTAGACCTTCCAGGATAGGAGTTGGGATATCATGTTGAGGTTGAACAGGATGTTGCTGAGGCCTCTGTTGGAGTAGTGTGTGTAGTTCTGGTCGCCTTGTTATAGGAAGGATATTATTAAACTGGACAGGGTTCAGAAAACATTTACCATGATGTTACAGGGAATGGAAGATTTGAGATATCAAAGTAGACTGGAAACCCTGAGACATTCTTTCACTGAGCTTAGAAGGTTGAGGGGTGACCTTACTTGGGTCTATAAAATCATGAGTGGCATAGATAAGGTGAACAGATAAGGGTCTAGGGTGGGAGAGTTCAAGGCTAGGGGGCATAGGTTTAAGGTGAGAGGGAAAAGATTTAAAAAGGACATGAAAGGCAACTTTTTTGTTTTAACTGAGTGGCTCATATGTGAAATGAACTGCCAGAGAAAATGGTGGACGCAAGTACAGTTACAACGTTTAAATGAAATTTGGATAACTTCATGAATGGGAAAAGTTTGGAAGGATATGGGCCAAGCGCAGGGAGATGTGATTAGTTTAGTTTGGGAACGTGGACAGAAAGGTTTGTTTCCACGCTGTATGACTGTCTCTGACTACAGGGGCAGGATTAGGCCATTTAGCCCATCGAGTCTGCTCTGCCATTTGATCATGGCTAATTTGTTTTTCTACTCTATTCTCCTGCCTTCTCTCTGTAACGCTTGATCCCCTTACTAATCAAGAACCTATCTCAGTCTTAAATGAACTGAATTGCTTGACCTCCACAGCCCTCTGTGGGCTCTACAGATTCATCACTCTTTGGCTGAAGATATTCCTCCTCATCTCAGTTATAAAAGGGCTATCCCTTCACTCTGGGGCTGTGCCTTCAGCTCCCAGCCTCTCTCACCAGTGGAAACACCTTTTCCATCCAGTCCTCTCAGTATTCAGTAAGTTTCAATCAGATCATTCCTCATCCTTCTAAACTCCAGAGTACAGAGGCAGAGTCATCTCCGTTCCTCATATGACTAGCCCTTCATCTCCGGAATCATTACTGTAAACTTCCTTTAGAGGCCCTCCCTCAATGGCAACTTTCTTAAACACAGAGCGCAAAACTGCCCACAATACTCCAAATGCAGTCTGACCAGACCCATATTCAGCTTCAGCAGTAGATATCTGCTTGTGTTCTAGTCGTCTTGAAATGAATGCTAACGTTGCTTTTGCCTTTCTAACTGCCATATACACCTGCATGTTAACCTTATGAGAATTCTGAACTAGGTATCCCAAGTCCTTAAGTACTTCAAAATTTCTGAAACTTTTCCCGGTTTTCAACTTAGTCTATGCCTCTATTCTTGCTACCAAAGTGCATAACCTCACACTTTCCCACATTGTTTTCCATCTGCCATTTGTTTACCCACTCTCCTAGCACATTCAAGTCCTTCTGCAGCTTTCCTGTTAATATTACCTGTCCCTCCACCTATCTTTGTGTTATCGACAAGCAATGCCCTTCAGTCCTTCATCCAGATCGTTCATGTATAAAGTGAATATTTGGGGTCCCAACGCTAACCCCTGTAGAACTCCACTAATCACTGACTGCCATCCCGAAAAATACCCCTTTATCCTCCTCACTCTGTGCATTTTGCCGGCCAATCATATACCCATACTGCCTAACCTTGCTCTGAACACCATGGGATCTTATTATAATCGAACAGCTTCCTGTGTGGCACCTAGTCAAAGGATTCTGGAAATCCAAATAGTTCAGGGATATGGGCCAAGTGCGGGCAAATGGGACCAGTTTAGTTTGGGAAATCTGGTTGGCATGGAGGAGTTGGACTGAAGCGCCTGTTTCAGTGTATAGCTCCATGACATTCACTGGCTCTCCTTTAATTACTCATTACCTTAAAGAATTCGAACAGATTTGGCAGACATGACCTCCCCTTGATGAAGCTGTGCTGACTCTGCCTTATTTCACCATGCTCTTTCAAGTACTCCACAATCTCACCGTGGACTCTAAAATCTTACCAAAGACTAAGGTTAGGCCTATTGGCCGATAGCTTCCTGTCTTCTGCTTCCCTTCCCTCTTCAACATGGGTGTTACATTAGCAATTTTCCAGTCCTTGAGGACCCTCTCTGACTCCAGTGATTCCTGAAAGATTACTAACAATGCCTCTCCTCAGCTATCTCCATCAAAACTCAGGGATGTAGTCTATCTGCTCCGGGTGATTTATTCACCTTCAGACTTTTCAGCTGCCCACCACACTCGTATTTGCCCTTTGACTCTCCTTAAGTACTGATATGCTGCTAGTATCTTCTGCTGTGAAAACTGATGCAAAGTACCTATTCAGTACCTCTGCCATTTCTTTGTACCCCCTTACTACTTCACCAGCCTTATTTTCCAATGGGCCAATGATCACTCTTGCCTCTCTTACATTTTAAGATATCTTTAAAAACTGTTGCGATTTTTCATATTACTAGCTAACACTCTCAGATGTCAGCTTCTGCTCTTCCTTTATTGCTTTTTTTAAAAAAAGTCATTCTCTCCTAGTTTTTAAAGGTTCTCCACTAATCTTCACACTATATGCTTTTTCTTTTGCTTTTATGCTGTCTCTGACTTCCCTTGTCAGCCATGATTGCTTTGGCATCCCTTTAATATATCTCTTCTTCCTTGGGAGGGATTCCTGTGTGACTCCCAAATTACCCTCAAACTCCTGCCATTATTACTTCACTGTCTTTCCTGCTAGGCTCCCCTTCCAACCAACTCTGGCCAACTCTTCTTTCATGTCTTTGTGGTTATCCTTACTCAACTGTAATACTGTTACACCTGATTTCACCTTCTCCCTCTCAAACTGCAGGGTGAACTCTATCATATTATGATCACTGCCCACTAGGGGTTCCTTCACCTTAAGCTCTCTAATCAAGTCTTCCTCATTACACATCACAAAATCCAGAACTACCCGTTCTCTCGTGGGCTCTAACACAAGTTGCCCCCCCAAAAAAATGCTCTTGTACACATTCCACCAATTCTTTTTCTGAGATTGGCTGCTAGCTTGATTTTTCTCGTGCAGCTGTATATTGAAGTCATGATTATTGTGCTAGTGCAAGTCATTGTAATACTAATATACAACTTTAAATTCTCAAACTCGACCACAAATTAACTTAAATCTGACATCTGTCTTACCCTTGTTTGGTCATGGAATTGTTTACCAACACGGTTAGCTTTGCTTTGGGCCTCCAGAATCAAATCCCTCAATGCCACAGCATCATCCTTCCGAAGGGTAAATCCCACTTCTTTCAGTAAAAGGAGGATAAGCTCAATGTCTTTTTCTTTGAAGTTGCTTGTGAGTTTTTTAAGAATATCAAACACTAACACAGAGTTAGTCACATGAAAGTTATAGAAGTGTGCAATCAAATTGATTAGATTATCGCATTCTTTGGTTTCACTGACTTTTCTAGAATGCTCGTCAAATTGTTTCACTGTTGCCTCCAAAACATGGGCTCCAACCTGTAAAACACAATGCATATTAGTAAATCTTAAAATAGCGAGCAAATACAAAGCACAAGAACTAGTAAAATCCCTCAGTCACACACAAAACTTGCAATTATTGAGTTACTTCACGACAATGCAAAACAGTTTACAATGTATTGACATGGTAGGTTTTGTTGCCATGCATGAAGCACAGTCAGCTCCCACAAAGAGCATTATAATTAATTTTCAATTTTAGAAGTGGGTTGAGTGATGAATGCTGGCCAGCGCACCACATGAAACCTGCTTTTCTTTAATAACGCCATGGGATCCCTCATATCCACTTGGGGTAGCAGATGGAGCCTTGGTTCACCATCTCACCCAAATGGCAGCACCATAACAGTATCCCAGTAAGCAGTGGAGCCTAGTTAGTAGGCTTGTGATTCCCAAAGTTATCCACATCCCTTTAAAAAAATGCATAAAGCACAACATACATTGCATCTTATTAGATTTGAAACAATTTCAATAAGTTTTGGTTTTATTTTCTTGCAATCGTGGAATTGACAAATGGATTAAATCTACAATCATTCTATGTCAGTTGGTTCTCAAAACACATACAGAAAGTACAGCACTGAACAGGTCATTCCGTTCAGCTCATCCATGTTAATATTCTTACATTGCTGTTCATATTCTATTCCGATGATTTGCTAATTTTGTCCTCTCCACACAGGCTTGCTATTCCCTAAGTGGCACTTGTGAGCTTACACCATGAGTGTAACCGAAATATATTCTTGGCAGAGGCAAAGTTATAACCGTAAGAAGGAAGGACCATTTGAGAAAATTCTAACAACAGTGTTTGTGACAAGGATACAAAGAGAAGTGCTTAGATCGCTTTTGTCACACCTAACTGGGGTAGTGGCACAAAAAAAAAACAAGCAGCACTATTCCCAGAGTCGTCACAAAAGTTAAGCTTTACAAAGCATGCAGAATTCACCAATTTATGGGTCTTTTAGATACCAGGTTGGCAGAACCAGGTGACTGTACTTAACAAGAACGACTATTTGTTCATAATAAATAGAGATAAACAATTATCAACTGTTGACATTCAATTCTACTTAACCCCTCTCCATAAACTCCCGCTCTAGACACAGACAAAAACAAGAACAAAAAAAAAGTGTTGTGGGCAGAGGGAAAGATTGGGAAGGCACTTCAATGGTCTCTATCCACAGGATTTGCTGAAGTGATCCTTGTGCTAATGTAGAAAGTTTATTTCTTGATCCTCCTTCTGCAGGTACTTTCACTTGTTTACAGAAGGCAGTGTGACTAGTTCACATTTGTAAAGGTCTCTAACTTATTAAAAATCAGAGCTTATACCAACCGATGGGGAAATAAACTGGATGCTTTCAAGCTTCAGATGTTTTCTACTGCACAGGAAAAAACAGGGCCCTTCACTTCCAGAGGTCCAATGGCTTCTCCCCCAAAACATGCACTTCCCCGAGCTGTTTAGCAGGCAGATGACTTTTATCATTGATAATAGGTCACTAGTTCAAAAGATCAATCAGCTATTTGTTGCCAGCTGAAGCCCTATTTATACATAACCCCCCAGCTGCAGGTTGCTTGTAACTCAGCTTCCAACTGCTTGCACAAACTGTGTAAACAGGACTTACAATGAAAGTTAGATAACTTCATTTAAAATGTGCGATAATACTTCCTTCAACAATACTTGGCCTCTAAAACTTTGCTTTACCCATTTCAGACTACAATTAAAATACAGAATAATAAGAAGATACAGTCTTAATACTTTACAACCCAAAATTCTGTGGTTGGCCTGAAGTGACTTGAATATTTTTGTGCTCAAGGTGCCTGGGTACAAGATTAAGAAATATCATAGTTATGTCTGTTTGTTCAGAAACAGTAATTTTATCTGGTTCACTAATGCTTGGATTTTGTCAGTAACACGGGGTCATACTCAATACACAAAATAACCTCAAATTGTAGCTGCTTTGTTTTCTTGAAGTGTTCAAAAGAAGAAAAATTAGTTCCAGTTAGCATCTCTTAATTTGTAACCAAAATGAGGTTTATGCAGAAAGCACTGTAACTACTCTGCAGCATCTGCTAGACCAGCTGAGTACTTCCAGTATTTTCTGTTTTTATTTCAGATTTCTTACATGTTTACCAATTATGATTATCTGGTCTCAAGTATGCAGTTTTGCAGTGTACAGTACTGTAGTCAGCCTTACAACCAAAGTATTAAAAATGCCAGCAAGATAAATATTATAACCTTAAAAGTAGCTAGCTTATATGACAATTGATAAGCAATCTGAATACTGGTGTTACCTCAATTCCAACATTGTGATGAAGAATGCTAATTAACAGTACATGTTCCATCATCAATCTGTTAGGCATCAAGGCTGAAGTGACACAGGCTGCAAGGATGACATCCGTTAGCACATCATTCATGTCTTTACGACTGTTTCTCATATAAAACTCTTCAAGCTGACTACAAATGGAGGCCATATTAGGTTCACTCAACCTAAAACAAGAGAAAATGGCTTAACTAGGATTCATAATTGAAGTAACGAAAACCCCAAAACATCAGCATCGTTGCCATTTGTTCATTGCAAATGGTCAAAATGATGCAGAATTTCTTTTGTGGGTCTAATCGCATGTTGTACAAAGAATTCATACATTACATATTTTCTTTTAAAAAAATTACTAGGACGCATGCTATTAATCTAATCTTTCTTAAACTAAGCAACCTGATACAGGGCTAAGGTTCACAATGCATGACATCAACATTGAAGAGTGACAAGATAACACATTACATTGCAAACCGCAAGCAAAATACCGGGCGTTCCAGAAATAATAAAAAAAGTGGTAGAAATACTGGACAGGTCAGGCAGCAGCTATAAAGAGAGAAACTGAGTTAGCATTTCAGATCAATGGCTCTTAACTGACATTAGTTAGATATTCACCAAGTTATCATGAAGTATAGGGATTAAGGAAGCTTTGTGAAAGAGGAAAGAAATAAAAGGATGATGGTCCAAGGTCCACGTGGACAACCAGTGTTAGCTAGGACCTGGGGACAACACTTGCTCCCCTTGCTTGTTCAATCTTTTAGAAGAGAGAACTATCCTCTTTGGAGTAGGGAAGGTTATATGTTGAATGAGTAGAGATTTGCAAGATGATGGGGGCATTTTGATATAGAGTGAGAAATATGATCCCCCACCAACTATCTCAATAACTAGTGATTATAGATTTAAAACAATTTGAAAGAGATCCAGAGAGATAAAGAGATATTTTAAATTCTTGTTTCAGGTTCACACTTCATGTGGAATACTGGGTGGATAAAGGCCAATTTCAAAATTAATCTTAAAAAGAAGTCAGACAGGATGAAAGTGGTACAGAACTGTGAACAAAAAAAGAGATGTGGGATTAAGCACTATCTCTTTATCAAAGAGGTAGCAAAAGAACGATGGTGTTAATAGCTTCTTCTGCATTAATAAGTGGCTCTAATTCTAGGAGAAAAACAGACCGCAGCATGTTAGAAAGTTGAGGCTTTTTGTTGAGGGCTTGACTGTTTGAATGGGATACCAATACAGCAATATTAAATATTTAAAATATTTGGTGCTTTCCTTGCTCTCCATGTCCTTTCATGAACTTAGGACTGAGTTTAAAGTTTGGGAAAGCAACATCTAAATGGCAGGGGATTGGAGTTTTAAACTGGGGATAAAAGTTCAGTTGAGGAGTTCGCTCCTCATGCAAAGATGGGTAGTGGGATGCTTCACATTCAGCTCCTTAACACTTGTGTGGAGAGCATCCTGGCTAACTGCTCTAAGTGGCTGACCAATCGTGTCCAACCAAACCACGTCAAGCTCCTTGTCTAGAGTCATAAGCTGCCTTTGACTTACTGCACTGGGATTCCCTGGCTAAACGTTATCCCTCTTGATTTGACTGAGGCCTGCTGACAACCATGACAAGTTTTGAACCTTTGTCTATGTGTTAAATGGTAAGGCAAGACAAAAGTAAAATGAACCTGGTATCTCTGGCTGAGGGGACAAACAGCACCAAGTCAAGGCACGGCAGGGATGCTGCAAACATCCAGGTACACAGTAAAAGTGAACGAGTGCTATGACAGCAAGTGAAGTTCCTAGGAATGCAGCAGCATTTCAGTAATCATTGCCTGTGTAGCCTGGAGTTCAAAAATGTCCCGTAAATAGATCACAGATGTACCATGAAGTGGGATGGTCCTAATGCTGGAATCAGCCTCACCGGGTCTCTTATCTGATCATACCACCAGTCTTACCATTGCCCACACCACTCAGACCCCTATATGATTCAGTCCCAAGTTTCTGTTGCAAGCATCACAGAAATACACTTAAAGGTTCATTAAAACTGGTCAAAAGCATTTCTAGCATATTATGAAATACATTTAAAAAATATAAGCAGTTCTCGTTTTGTGCTTCTGCCTAGTCGTGCATAAATGTATTTTGCATCCCAGTGACTTGCATTTGAATTTCTTGTTCTCAAAGGAAGTTCATATCATCAAGATTCATATGGATAGAGTTTGCCTATTAACTGAAACGCTTCCTTTGCTTCATGCAGAAGGAAATACAAACATGCAAAAGTTTTGTCCCCATTTCAATCTCCAAATTCAATTACTACGGTTATTTACATATCTGAGCAAAAGCAATTTTAAACAATAAAATCACAAATGCATTTAATCAAAGAACAAATTATTTTGCATCATAAATCTTAAAAGATCACAAATTGAACTGAATAGAATGAGTGTAATTCACTTGGCCCTGATTTACACAGCCCAAAAAAACCCCTTTATGTGAAAAAATCACTGGACCAGTTACATTTCAATCATTGCACGTTCTTCCAAATTACCCATTTTTAATCATGATAATCCTGAAAAACGACAGAAGCACAAAGCAGTCAATTTGTGAATCACATTAATTTTAAGTGTTCTAATATTTGGCTCAAATTTCAGAAAAACTCATATTTTACAATATCACAAGTTAATCTCAAGGAAAACTAGAAAATGCTGAAATAATTTAGGCTGTTAAGTATCTTGTTGAAATAGGAAGGTCTCTTATGGCACAGTGGCAGTATTCCTACCTTTGAGCCAGAAGGCCCAGGTTCAAGTTCCACCTGCTCCTGAGATGTGTCATTACATATTTGAACAGGTTGACTAGAAAATGTTAGGATAGGAAGGCAGCATTAGATTGTCAGGCTAATAATCTAGTTCCAAGGTCCTGGTTTATAAAAATGAGAAACCTTTATCTTTCTCCATAGTTTCAATGAAATAAGGTTTTGTAAAATCAACAACAATCGAGTTTGAGTTGGAGTGTGTCCTAAATACAGGCCTTCATTCAAGATAGCAGCCGAGAGCCAACTGTACATGCATGGTTTGATGAGCGTGCTCAAGTGACTTCCAAGATTTGATTGGACTCTTTTTTTTTAGTTAAATCGTTCTCAGAATTTCACCAACATCATTTAGGTGACAGTCTCGTAATTAGACACTCCTATTTTGCCAATATCTGCATGATAGGGCTCGCTGCCATTTCACGATTGCAGCAGTAGAATGTTTCCATATTCCTACCTATTAAGAAGTCCTTTTACATTCTTCTTAAGTCTTATAAGATCTTCCTTTTTCTTTGCATCCATAGATTCAGCCTTTTCACGCAACTGCGGGGGAATATACTTCCTGGAATCATTGCCCTCATTTGACAGTTGCTCCTAATGCAAGATGATGGAACAGGTTATGAGAAATCTAATATCTTCTATCTTGAGTATTTTTGAAGTATAAAACATGGAAAAGATATTCTAAATTAATATGTCTGAAAGAAGCCCACATTGGAAAAAAATGCTTTTTGTTGAGGGCTTGGCTGTTTGAATGGGATACCAATACAGCAATATTAAATATTTAAAATATTTGGTGCTTTCCTTGCTCTCCATGTCCTTTCATGAACTTAGGACTGAGTTTAAAGTTTGGGAAAGCAACATCTAAATGGCAGGGGATTGGAGTTTTAAACTGGGGATAAAAGTTCAGTTGAGGAGTTCGCTCCTCATGCAAAGTTGCATCTTGGAGCACTCAGTCTACCTCTAGTCTTGTGAGATGGGTTTTCACATCGAAAAGCTATCACTCTAATAATCTACTATCTGCAATACGGAAAACTAATACATTACCATCAGCATCTACCATGCTAATTGGTGCTGGATTTAGTAGCATACCCAATTGATGATGATTGGGTCTTTCAGTATTATGTAACTTCTGCACAGCAAAACAGAAGCATCAGCAATATTCTACTGCTACTTCAACTTAAATTTAAGAGAAATACCCAAGGAGCATCACAGAACATAAAGAACTGATTATTAAATATTAGTCACTAATGGTGGACCAAATTGTGTGTAGCACAGCCTGTAAAGAAGGTTGCGGATCTGGAAGCTTTGCAGTAGTTGTAGTCACCTAGAACTTAAATGCAACTGGACTATGAAGGTTTTATAGATAAAACTGAAGGGTTCCTGCTGCGTTCTCACACCACTAATTTTAGTACAATCTAGATTCTGTAGAATCATACTGGGGTACAATTTCAGAGTTATGGAGTGAGATTTTAACTTGCTCAAACTTAATCACCTACAATATTAAAACTGGGCCCTGTGTTCCCTTGAGAAAATTGGACAATTTTTCACTGCAGCAGGTAAGTCCAGAAGCAATCTGATAGAATTTTAAAAATGAATGTTTATAACTTAAGTTGGCTGAGGAGTCAGAAACAAAGTCACCATCAATTTAAAAGTATCAAACTAAAAAGATGTTGGGGAAACATATTTACATTGAATCACAAAATATGGGCAATGCTTAGTTCACGTAGCACATTGTGAGACAAACAGCTTATATTTCATGTCAGAGAGAGATCACTGACCTGAAATGCTGGACTTTTCGCTTTTTAACACACGCTGCCTGACCTATTCACATTTCCAATAGTGGCAGCATTTGCTTTGCGACCTTCCAGCAAGTGTTTGTGTGCTTTGCCACAAGGTGTAGGTTAAGGCGGATGCCATGATAATTTTAAAAGAAACTGAATAAATATTTGTAGCAGAGGAAGGTGCAGCATTTATACAGATAGCAGTAAGATTAAATCTGGATTGTTTTATTAAAAAAGTGAGTAGAGATAAGATTGCCTGCACTGGAAACTTTGATGTTTCAAAAAAGGATATTCAGCACATGGTTTTGGAAAATTTCAGAGAGGCGTCCAAGAAGGATGGCAGCAGGTTACCAAAATTGGGAAGTGACTGGCTGAACAGGATTTCAACAGGAGAATGGACTGATGGGCAGCATTGCATTGATGGAACAATTGATGAATCTATGTTTTGATTTAAATTTTAGCTTGGAAAAAATACATGTCAAAAATTAAGAATAGTACAGTTCCACCTTAGAAAGTGGCCAGATAGCACATAAAAAGAAGTAGGGCTGTAATAGGACTTGGTCCTTCTGTTGCTAAACTGTGAAAAATTATAATTCATCCAGGATTCAACAATCTGCAAAGGGCAAGGAAGATGAAAAAAAAAACAGAGTGTGCAAGGGAAAAAACCTCACTTGTGCATTCCTAGGTCAATGAAAAAAGAAACAGTATTGGATCTAGCTCCACGGACCTTCAAAACAAATCTATTGATGAATGAGGATGAATTCAGTAAATTGACCTCAGTTCCTCGTTAAAAGGCAAAGAAAGAGCTGAAATAGATTACTAGATTACCTAAATAAATGATAGGTGGAGATGGAGCCCAGAGAAGGGACAAAGTGAGTGAGCAAGAGAGATCAATAGCTGCTAATGGTGAACATGAGTAGCTGACAATTGGTTGGTTCTGGCAGCAGGCCATGTGTTGACAAGGCCTGATGTGTGGGGATTGGGAAAAGGACATGGAAGAAGGTGCTTAGGCCCTAAAATTATTGAACTTGGCAATGAGTCCTGAAGGCTGCAGGGTCTGCAAGTAGTAGCCGAGTGCTATTATCACTGGACTGTTAATCCAGTACCCAGGTAACATTCTGGGTGACTCGGGTTTGAATCTGCCATGGCAGATGGTGGAATTTGAAATTCAATAAAAAAAAACTGGAATTAAGAGTCTAACGATGACAATGAATCCATTGTTGATTGTCAGAAAAACCCATCATATTCACTAATGACCTTTAGGGAAGGAAACTACCATCCTGGCTGGGTTTGGCCTACACCTGCCTCTAGACCCACAGCAATGTGGTTGACTCCTAACTGCCCTCTAGGCACTTAGGGATGGGCAATAAATGCTGGCTTAGCCAGTGATGCGCTCATCTCATGAGTGAATTAAAGTGAAATGCTGTAATACATCTGGAAACACCTGCTCCATGTTCACTCCATGCCAGGCACTCAGTAGTCCATAGGTTTCAATCAGACGCATGCTCATCTTCTAAACTCCATTGAGTACAGACCCAGAGACCTCCACCATCATTCTAGTAAACCTCCTCTAGACTCTTTCCCCAATGCCAGTACTTCCTTCCTTTGAAATGAGGTCCAAAACTGTTCACAATATTCCAAACGCGGTCTGACCAGAGCCTTATGCAGCCTCAGCAGTACATCTCTGCTCTGGTATTCTAGCCCATCTGACATGAATGACAGGGGGAGGCGAATCCAGAAATGAGCTCATTAATGACCTCTACGTATGGGGAGTAAATGGCCTAGTGGTATTATCGCTGGACTGTTAATCCAGAGACTCGGATAACATTCTGGGGACCCAGGTTTGAATCCCACCATGGCAGATGGTGGAATTTGAATTCAAAAAATATCTGAAATAAAGAATCTAATGATAACTGTGAATCCATTGTCGATTGTTGGAAAAACCCACTGGGCTCACTAGTGCCCTTCAGACCATCCTTACCTGGTCTGGCCTACATGTGACTCCAGACCCACAGAAATGTGGTTGACTCTGAACTGCCCTCTGGGCAATTACGGATGGATAATAAATGCTGCCTAGCCAGCGACGTGTCTCATCCCATGAATGAATTAAAAAAATGCTAACACTGCATTTGCCTTCCTAACTGCCAACTGCATGTTAACCTGAAGAGAATCCTGAACCAGGACTCACAAATCTCCTTGCTCTTCAGATTTCCAAAACCTTTCCTGGTTTAGAAAACAGTCTACACCTCTATTCTTTCTACCAAACTGCATAACCTCATACTTGCCCGCACTGTATTCCAGCTGCCAGTTGTTTGCCCACTCTCCGAGCCTGTCCAAGTCCCTCTGTAGCCTCCCTACTTCCTCAGTATTACCTGTCCCTCCACCTATCTTTGTGTCATCTGAAATCTGCAAACTTAAAAACAATGCCCTCAGTTTCTTCATCCAAATTGTTAATGTATACTTGAATAGTTGTGGTCCCATCATGTTTAGCATGGTAGCTTGTGACTAGTGGAGGACCACTGGGGAACATGACCCCTTCATCCCCACTGTCTTCTGCCAGTCAACCAATCCTCTATCTACGCCAGTAACTTGTACCTGTGATACTGGGGACATATCTTTATTTAGCAACCTCCTGTTCGGCGCCTCATCAAAGGCCGTCCGGAAATCCAAAGAGATCACATCCACTGGCATTTCCTTTGTCATTGCTTGACATTCAACAGCATTACCATTGTTGAAATACCCCATTGTCAAACTCCCCAGGTTTGGTTGGGGCATAATTATTGAGGCTACAAGATCAGGTCGTAGGCTAGAATTGTGAGACACGTAGCTCATCTATATCCTCAGTGCCTGTCCACCGTCCACAAAGGAACAAATCGGGGGGGAACTTAGTTCAGAATTCACAGCTTCTAACTTTTGAGAAAGGCAACAGGGAAAGGTCTGGGAAATATAGACCGGTGAGCCTTACGTCTGTGGTGGGAAAGTTGTTACAGAGATTCTGAGATACAGGATCTACAGGCGTTTGGAAAGGTAAGAACTGTGTTGGGATAGTCAGCATCAGTTTTTTGAAGGCGTGATCAAGAAAGTAGATGCCTACATGGACTTTAGCAAGTCAGAGTTATACAGCACAGAAACAACTCGTCCATGCCGACCAGACATCCCAAGCTGACCTAGTTCCATTTTCCAGCATTTGGCCCATATCCCTCTAAATGCCTCCTATTCATACACCCTACTAGATGTCTTTTACATGTTGTAATTGTACCTGCCTCCAACACCTCCTCCGGCAGCTTGTTCCTTACACATACCCTCTGTGTGAAAAAATTACCTCTCAGGTCCTGTTTAAATTGTTCACCTTTCACCGTAACCTATGCTTTCTAGTTTTGGTCTCTCCCACCCTAGGACGTTTGCCAAGGTACCACATGGTGGGTGCTTGAGTAAGGTTTAATCTCATGGGATCCCGGAAGAGCTAGCCAATTGGATACAAAATTGACTTGAAGGTGGAAGAGAGAGGTTAGTGGTAGAGGGCTGATTTTCAAACTGGAGGCCTGTGACCAGTGTGCGCAGCAGGGATTGGTCCTAGGTTCCATTATTCATCATTTATTTAAATGGTTTGGATAAGAATTTAGTATGTATGGTTAGTCAGTTTGCAGAAGACACCAAGATTGATGGTATAATATACAGTGAAGAAGGTTATTGGGGAATACAACAAGATCTTGATAAGCTGGGCTAATGGGCTGAGGAATGGCAGATGGGGTTTAATTTAATTTAGACAAAGGTGAGGTATTGCATTTTGGTACGTCAAACCAGGGCAGGACT